CAGTCGCCATTTTGAGCGTGTGGGCTGCACACTGTGCTCCTGAGGCCTCTCCTGTCCACGAGTCTGCTCCTGAGGTCTCTCCTGTCCATGAATCTGCCCCAGTGGCCTCTCCTGCCTATGAGTCTGTCCCTGAGGCCTTTCCTATCCATGAGTCTACACCAAGGGCCTTTCTTGTGCCTGAATCTGCTGCAGAACCTCCAGAGCCCATTCAAGAACTCTCTGCTTGTTCGGTCACAGGCAAGTGGTCTGTCCATGTCTCTGCACCGCCATGGCTGCCTTTTCTGCCTGATCCACCATGGTTCCCCGATCTGCCTGCTCCGCCATGGTTCCCCGATCTGCCTGTTGTAACCCGCTGTCGGTGAGTCTAGTCTGTTCATGCCACGTCAAATCTGTTCATGTCAAGTCAAGTCTGTTCATACCTCGTCAAGTCAAGTCTGTTCATGTCAAGTCTCGGATTATTGTTTGGATCACACTGTAAATAAACTGCACTTGGGTTCTTCACTGCGCTTGCCTTCAGTGGACTGAATCGTTACACATTATTAATGAAATAAAAAAAATTTGTGTTAAAAGTGTAGGATTTATAACAAGACGTAGTACTTGTATAGTTAAAATTTAAATGTTCAAATTTTTGATTTTTAATGTAAGACGTAGTACTTGTAATGCACATTTAAACATTCAAACAAATCTATCAGGTAAGGAACAGAGATCTAGTTTTATGTTCATTATTAATTAAATACAATTTTTGGTTAAAAGTGTAGGAATTATAATGTACAATATGGCACTTCTTGCGTTCAGTACTTGTAGTTCACATTTAAACATTCAATCATGCACGCAAAAGTTTAGTTTGATACCTTTTTAGTGCATAAATATTGACAAGCATATTAAGACTATTAGGTAAGGAATATAGACCTCCTTTTATTATGATTATTAATTGAATAACATTTCTGGGTTCAAAGTGTAGGAGTTATAATATAAGATGTACTACTTGTACTTCACATGTAAACATTCAAACAAATCTATCGGGTAAGAATAGATATCTTACTATCGTTATTAATGGAATAACTTTTGGGTTAAGAGTGTAGGATTTATAATGTAAGATGTAGTACTTGTAGCTCACAATTAAACATTCAAACATGCATTAAACAGTTTAGTTTGAGACACTTAGCATGTAAATATCGACAAGTATATTTAGACGAGTTATCAGATAGGAAATAGTGATCTGCTTTATCATTAACATGATGAATAATGATGATGAATTAACATTTTTGATCAAAAGTGTAGGATTTATAATGCACTTTTTGCGTGTAGTACTTGTAGTTCACATTTAAACATTTCAGACATGCATTCAAAAGTTTAGTTAGACAAGCTAAATTCAGCTTTGTTTGAGAGTTATATCTGTAGTATGTTTCTTTTACACCTACTGTGCCATTTTTTTTAACTGATCTACGACTTTGCTGCATCATTTTATTTATTTTGTATTTTTTTGGCATTGTTTTATTGCCCATAAACGTCACAAAAAAAAAATAAATGTAGCTGATTGCTTTACTTGTGAGTCAATCAGTCTTTTGTGTGTGCAAACTTTAGTCAGATCAGTACACACTTGTCCACCAGGGGCTGCTATTTAGCAAAAAATAAGATTAATGTTCACTATAGGCTAAAAAGAAACTAGTAGCCTACTCGGATCTCAGCATGCATTTCATTGATTTGAACTTTTGCAAAACAATCCGTGTTAAACAAAACTGGTCAAATCTTGCTAAATGTCTAATTTCTTTGTATTAGTGATTTAATTCTAAATCTAATCATGATTATGCAACTATATTGGCACCCCAACATTTAAAAAAATATAGAAACAACCTGTAGCCTGTTTGTTGCAACCCCCAATAATTTAAACATGCATTCAAAAGTTTACTTAGTAAAACGTAAATATCAACAAGCATGTTTAGATAATCCATTAGGTAAGGATAGAAAATCTTGTTTTATCATCATTAATAACGGAATTACATTTTTTGGCTCAGATGTATACTATTATAGTAATATGATGTCACGCCTTGCATTTCATGCTTGTAGTTCCACTTGAACTTCCTCTGAACGGTTAGAAAAGGTGCATGTTTGCATGTGTATCTCTGTGCTGCCTGCTGGCATCCTGTTCAGGCCCCGCTGTGGTTTGCATGATTCAGAGGCAATGATGACAAAGTGTCAGAGAACAAAAAACTCAGTTTAGGTGGAGCTGGACCTTTACAATCAACCAAAGTAGACCGGACTGAAAGATGCGCACTTACTGTGTACTTCTACACATTTTTGGTGAGTTATTTTACTTTTTTATTTATTTTATTTTTTTTGGAGTAGTGTATGAGCAAGGCTTGTGTGAACTTATTTGAAAATATTCAACAATATTTATCCTGTCTGAAAATATAAATTAAAAACAAAACAACGTGTCTGTTAAAACATTAAATTAGTTTGAATAGAAAAATACAATAAAATTCTTTTTTTTGTTTGTTGTATTTATTAGCTTTGAATATATAAACAAATATATAAAAATATCTATTCATGCCGTGATTGTCTTTTCCCATAAAAATCTCTTTCTCTTCATAAGATCTCTCAATTGTTTTCGCTTTGATAGTGATGAGATTAAATAAAGAGCAAATGCTTCTCAAACAACGTTTCTTCTGAGAGAAACATCACGTCTCTTCTAGATCTCGACAATGTGCTCACATTTGGGAGGCTTATATATCAATATGAATTCAATATGAACGACTTCTCATCAAATTCTACTGAATGATATTCACATTCATTCTATAGCTCCAACCTCTTATTTGTCCATCATTTGTGTCTGTTTTTATTTGTGACCCTGGAGCACAAAAGCAGTCTTAAGTCGCTGGGGTATATTTGTAGAAATATCCAAAAATACATTGTACGGGTCAAAATGAATGATTTTTCTTTTATGCCAAAAATCATTAGGACATTAAGTAAAAATTTGTGTCTGTTTTTATTTGTGACCCTGGAGCACAAAAGCAGTCTTCAGTCGCTGGGGTATATTTGTAGAAATATCCAAAAATACATTGTATGGGTCAAAATTAATGATTTTTCTTTTATGCCAAAAATCATTAGGACATTAAGTAAAAATCATGTTCCATGAAGATATTTAGTAAATTTCCTACTGTAAATATATTAAAACTTAATTTTTGATTAGTAATATGCATTGCTAAGAACTTAATTTGAACAACTTTAAAGATGATTTTCTCAATATTTAGATTTTTTTTTGCACCCTCAGATTCCAGATTTTCAAATAGTTGTATCTCTGCCAAATATTGTTTTATCGTAACAAACCATACATCGATAGAAAGCTTATTTTTTCAGCTTTCAGATAATGTATATATCTCAATATCGAAAAATTGACCCTTATGACTTGGTTTTGTGGTCCAGGGTCACATTTCTCCTAATGGTTGATGCAATGTCATAAATGTAGATGCTGAATTTAATAAACCTTATATATGGTCACACTTTATTTTAAGATATTAACTAATTATTAACTATGACTTTTTTCTCTGTAAACTCCTAATTTGCTGCTTATTAATAGTTAGTAGGTAGTAGTTAGTGGGATTAAGATATGGTCATGCAGAATAAGGCATTAATATGTGATTTATAAATACTAATACACAGCCAATATGCTAGTAACATGCATGCCTGTTTTTTTTTGTATGAATTCTTTTATTATACTTCCAGCTGCTCTGCTCTTGTGTGATTATGGGATGTTCTCCACACCATCACCATCTCCTTCAGAGATGTCCACCACTGCAATATCAGCCACATCCGACTCTAACACTGTGACAACAACAGGATCAATAACTGTCGGGAATGACTCGAGCTCGTTAGAGACTGGCTTAGAGGATGAATGGCCCGTTGATTCAAATGATACAGCTGAGAGCAGTGGAGACTCTTCTGACAATGAATCTAAAAGTCTGAATGGAAGCATCAGTGGAGTGATCTCTTCAACTACACATCCAGCGAGCACCACACGCAACGTGAAGCACCTTACTACTAAACAAAAAATAGGTTGGAGCATTTCTTATCAACTGTTAGGTGGTTATGGGTAATGGAAGCTGTTGTCTCTTTACTGTAGTATTATTAGACTGTGTCTCTGAATGCCCGTTATTACTTACGACATTCTCTTGTTTATTTGTGTTGGAACGGCCGCTGAGCTTTCTGCAGAGTTTAAGCGCTAAACCAGCTCGCAGGCAGTCTCAGTGGTTTCAAGGGCTATAGCTGAACTATAGCTTACGTGCATTACCTACATGCAATATTTCCCCAGTTTAAAAAAAAGGTCCTTTTATTGAAGCTTCAAAAATGACTCGCTTTCAGCTTTTTGACATTAAACAGATGAACACACATTTATGCTACCGGTCGAAAGTTTAAAATAATTAATAATCTTTTTTGAAAGAAGTCTCTTCTGCTCACCAAGGCTTCATTTATTTGATCATAAATACAGTAATGTTGTGAAATATTATTACAATTTCAAATAACTGTTTTTAATGTGAATATCTGATCAAAAGCTGTATTTTCAGCATCATTATTTTCAGCATCATTACTGCAGTCTTCAGTCACATGATCTTCAGAAATCATAATAATAAGCTGATTAGCTGCTCAAGAAACATTTCTGATTATAATCAATGTTGAAAACAGTTGTGCTGCTTCACATTTTTGTGGAAACAGTGTTACCTTTTATTTTTCAGGATTCTTTGAATATAAAGTTCAGCATTTATTTAAAATATAAATCTTTTGTAACTTTATAAAGGACTTTACTTTCAATTTTGATAAATTTAATGCACGCTTGCCGAATAAAATTATTAATTTTGTGATGCTGAATTAACATGCTGAATAAAATTCAGCTTTGATCACAGCAATAAATTACATTTTAACATAATATATTCACATAGAAAACTGTTATTTTAAATTGTAATAATATTTCACAATGTTGCAGTTTGTATAGTATCTTTGATCAAATAAATGCAGCCTTGATGAGCAGAAGAAACTTTTTTCAAAAATAATTTTCATTATTCCATACTTTTGACCAGTAGTGTACATATCTATATACATATCTAGAAATGTTGTTACACGTATTCTGTGTTTTGAAATTTGGGGTAAAGTCTGTAAAATATAAGACAGTTCTGGAGCAAAAAAAAGTGGACTTTAAGAACAAATGTATCATTTTAAATGCATAGTGACTAAAACATACGAGATGCTTCTGACAAGTTGAGAAAATGTCAGCGCTGACAGTGTAAAGTGTGTGAAGGGCCGGTTTCAGAGCTGCTCTGAGATCTGAGTGGTTAAAGTGTGAGTGGGTGCGAGATTCGCCATGTTTCTTGCTTTTTGAATGCAGACTCACCACAGCAGCAAAATCTCTCTCTCTTTCTCTGTTCTATTTAAATCTTGTGTGTAGCAGCATGTTCGTAGACTCACACCAAAGCTTTTTATTTATTTCAAATGATTTGATCATAATTGCATGCTCTCAAAAGCAGATAGTAGTTTCTCAGTTTGTCTGAATTCATTCTGCTGGGGTCTTTGTTGGTTTGTTGTAACGTGACCATTATTCTGTTTCAGATTCAGAATCGGTGACAGGAGGTGAGCTTGACTCTCTGCACATCGCAGCGTCTGCTTTGCTGAAGATAGGAAACACATCCTTTCTTCCTGTCGTAATGTTTCTGCACACTCGACTCTGAAACTATCTCTATTTTCACATTAAAACCACGTTCATGTGCTAAAATAATGCCTATTCTCTTTATAAACTGAAAACCACAACATCAAATCTCTGTATGTTGTTGCCAGGTATCATCATTTTGATCATCATCCTGATCCTGATTTGTTTTCTGCTTGGCATTTTATATATTCTGAGAAAGAAAGCAAGGGTAAGATTTGATAGGTTATTTCATTTTGTATGTTTTGGATCTGTTGCAAACCCTAGTGAGCTGCCTTGCCATGCTGTCTAACTCATTTCTAAGATAGTTTCCTAATTAAATCTCATAAGAATGAACGTCTTGCCATTGGGAGAGAAGTTGAGTGAATTTACTTTATTTCAATTCTTTTTATTATTATTATTGAATTGCTCACATCACTTGCATCAAAGAGGATCACTCAGTTTTGAATTTGTACATTTTTTTAAATTGAACCCTGTATTGCATTTTATAAAATAAAAAATACATAAATTAATCAAGTTGAATTTAACAAATGTATTTATTTATTGCCAAACAACAACATAGCTGTCTGGAATTTCTTGGTGAGCTCAAACACAACTTAGACACTAAGGCAAAAACAAACACATTCATACATACATAAATTATTCCAACCATTGTAAAGAATGAATACAAATGCATAAGTGCCAGAAGAGTTTAAAACATGGACCATCCTACAATAGGTACTATTCAAAAAGCATGCTCTCTGCAAATAAGTTTTGTATTTAATTAAATTTTATATTATTTATTATTATTTCTATATATTTATTGATTGATTTATGTTTGTTTATTTGTTTGTTTACCTACCTACTTTTCAGATGCTTTAAATGCTCTTTAGGCATTATTATTATTATTGTTAAATTGCTTAAATCACTAACGCCAAAGAGGGTCACACTGTGATTTCTTGCAAAGAAATTTTTTCCGTTTTATTTTTTAACCGAATCCTAGATTGCATTTCATAAAATAAAAATTGTAAACATTTTAACATACATTATTTATTTATTTTAACCACTTTTCAGATGCTTTAAAATGCTCATTAGGTTGACAGCTTGCTAAGGTTTGGAACACAGTCACTGTATGGCTAACACTGAACATTGACAGGAATTTTGCATTTATTCCCTCACACACACACACACACACACACACACACACACACACCTAGTATTCTAATTGCATAACTCTTGCATTGTGATTGTAGAGTTACTCATTTGATTTGACTCGTGTCGATGGACCTGGCAATGATTATGACACCCCGCTCAGGAGCGACCAACAAGGCCTAAGCTATGAACAAACCAACAAAGGCAAGTGTGAATGTAAAACGCACCTGAATATGAACATGATCTTGATTCATCTGTGTGCAATCTGTTTAGAAACTCAAAATCAGCCTGTGACTTGTTAACCTGTGTTCATGTCTTTCTGCTCAGATCTGCCTGTGTCTTTAAATTACATCCAAGAAGACAAGTCTGAGGAAAAGACTAATCCGATAGCAAATGGGTCTGCAGGAGAGAAAACTGAACAAACACCGACCAATGAAAATGGTAAAGCACATAGGCGTTCTCTTGTGACAAAAGCTGATCCAAACAGCAGCATTTTTACATTGCTTTGGCAGAATTGCATGTATTTTTTTCCAGCAAGCGCTGCTTATAATTCAAAACCTTGTCTTGATGGTCACTATTTTCCTTTCTGTATTATCTGCATAGGGAGGGGAATGAATGGGTTGTTTGAATTCACTTTATTGTTTTCCATGGTGATGAGAGTATGTCTGTAATCTTAAAGATGAGCAGAATGTTCCAGAAGAGAACAGTTTCTCTTCAAACTCGAGCTTGTCTATGCCAGTGAAGAAAGTGGAGTTTAACCTGGACCTGGATCTGCTTGGAAGTGAATCTGAATTAAGTGCTCAGACCGAAGCTGAAGCCACAGATGCGGCACAAAATGAAAACAACAATAACGTCAGTAATGCTGGTCAGTACAACCAAAAAAATTCATTGGCCAAACATGATTTTGGCCTCTTATGTCAACAAAAAAAGTTCTACATTTTAGGTTCATGCATGGGTAATACCGTAAGTTTACAATGTCATTGGGTTTTCTGTATTACAGGGCGAGGAACAGCAGAAGAGATCTTCACTGAAATCAGTCTAGACGAGCCAAAGGAGCATGCATAGCATGTGTTTCCCATGCAACAATCAAGATCTCTGGTCTTTGGTACCTAGATTCAACTCTATCTGTTCAAGATGCCTTGATCCGGACTATATGAGTGCTAAAGCGTCCTTTTGACATTCTCACTTCGAGTGCTGTTTCATGTACTGTTAAAAGAGATTGTATACTGTACATAAAAAAATGACATTTAATCATTAAAGTTTATGTAAAAAATGTTATGCAATGTAGAATGCACTTGTGTGTGTGTATGTTTTTGACTGACGCTCTCTGTTAAAGGGACAGTTCGCCCACAAATGAAAATTAAGTCATCGTTTACTCACCCTTGTGCCCTTCTAATGCCATATGGCCATCATTTTTTTTCTGAACACAAAAGGAGTTTTTTTTTTTTTTTTTTAAATGTTTTCATGTTTTCATGTTTTCAATGTATTTCATGTGCGCTCGTCCATATAATGGCAGACAGTGCTGGGTAGATTACAAATTGCATGATAAAAATTGTAGTCAGTAATGTCATTTAGATTACTAATTTTAGGTAATGCATTCTGACTGCTATTGGATTACTTTTAGATGACTTATAACCTAACTTGTTTCTAGATTTAAATTGGATTATTGTTATTATTATAGAAAACAAAACAAATGTATGACTATTAAACAACATCAGTGAACGTGCAAATGTGTTGTTAAAGGCACAATATGTACGATTTTTTTAATTAAAATATCCAAAAACCACTAGAACAGTGCTATATATTTTGCTGACTTGTGTACTTACATTATCCCAAATGTTTCGAAGAATGTTTAAATCCAGAGAAATAAGCAATTTTAACTAGTGACACGGAGCGTGTCCATAGTGTCATTGTGTCGCCTGCCAATGACGTCATAACCCCTCGATTTCCGGTTTTGTTTTGTAGAAAACATGGAAACACCAAAGACGCTTTAATATGTTGTGCGTTTTAATATGACGACCGTACAGAGTAGCATTATAACAGAACTTTCAAATGTATCTAGTATGATAAAACAGCGCTGCTTTACCCCACATACGCACGACCGGAAGCAGCGGAAGCGGCCGACTGTGGCATAATAAAAGCTCCGCTGCTTTACCCCACATACGCACGACCAGAAGGAGCGGAAGCGGTCAACTGTGGCATAATAAAAGCTCCGCTGCTTTACCCCACATACGCACGACCGTTCAGCGGCCTCGTTTCGGAATGTACAGCGCTCTCTCCCACCTTCAATACCACGACTGAGGTGCCCTTGAGCAAGGCACCGAACCCCCAACTGCTCCCCGGGCGCCGCAGCATAAATGGCTGCCCACTGCTCTGGGTGTGTGTTCACGGTGTGTGTGTGTTCACTGCTGTGTGTGTGCACTTTGGATGGGATAAATGCAGAGCACTAATTCCGAGTATGGGTCACCATACTTGGCCACATGTCACGTCACATTGTTAACACATGAACATGATTTCTGCACGAGTCCCGTCGGATTGCATCGGCTGTGGGGATGAAGACCACAACTCCCATGATTCCACACTCAGTCACTGCGTCATCAAACTATGCCTTTGTTTCCTTGTTTGTTTTGAATATGCGCCCTCTAGCGGCGAAAATTACATATTGTGCCTTTAAATTAATAAAATGTTAACTTTAAATCTCAGGAGGACTTCAAGCAAATATTTAAGGTCAGAGAGGTTTGACTGACAAAAAAAGTTTGAGAAATCCTTGCATCACATGAACAAACATTAATAAACATGATGAAAACAGCGATGACATGGTCAAAGTCTTCCAGGTTTGAAAGATTTTTGACATCGTGTTATACATCGGCAGTGTTTTGTAACTTGCATGATTATTCATCTCATGCATGGTATAATTGACTGAGAGGTGCTTTTGTCCCCAAATTCAGATGCATAGTGTGGGATTACCAAATTACAAATCTTCTGATCCTACATCCTGACATAACAATATGAGAAACTAAAGTGATCTACATTGTATTGAGCATTCAGTGTGGCTCATTATTGTTTTCACTGAGGGGTTTTGCCAGTATCTGATCTTCCTACTGAGAGTCAAACTATGTGTGAATGTTTACATGTGTATAGTTCTAGTCACCAGGTGGAGCTTATAACATTTGGTGATAATGTTATCTATCAGGTTTAGGCATGCTGGTGATCTGTTTGATCTCACCGACTCTTTTCTTTAGGACTATAGGTTTACTGGAGCTCATGGCTGGAGGTGATTGCCTGTATTGTCTTTAGATGTTTTGTTTAAGTGGTCACTTCTGTGGTCGACATCTTTAAGGACGGCCCACTGAATGCCTATAAAATACAATGAATGCCTGCCTTAGTCAGCCTTTTGATAAAGAATAAAGAATCCTGCTGAAGATACCCAAGCGTCTCCTGGTCTTCGCTTCTGAGTTTCCAACAATGGTTTGCAAATTAATTTACATGACATTTAAATGGCCATAATATATTCTGGAGGTTCACTGTATTCAATATGACACACGATAGAAAATATATTATGGAGAAAAAAAGCTGAATTAGGGAGAATAACTACATTATGAATAATTTACTGCCACTGCTATGTGCATAATTTGTAATCATGTAATCCATACAAAAGTAACTGTAATCCGATTATGAGCATTTAAAAAAATAATATAATCTAATTACAAGTATACTACATTTTTGGAATCTGATTATGTAATCCAGATTACATGTAATCAGTTACTACCCAGCACTGATTGTATGACGATCAGCATCAAGCTTTTTAAAAAAAGATGCAAAGTTGTTGTATAAAACTTGTTGTTGGGATGAGCACAACAGATATATTATCTTGTTTTCTCACAACTTGTGTGCTTTTCCTGGGCGAGTCGGAGTGAACTGCTGTGCTAATAGAGACTCATGAACGCGCAGTCCTGCACAGAGACCAAAGGTCAAGGTCAGGATATTCGTTAAATAATAAATTACATATTGGTTTGTTTTTCACCAAACCCTGTCATATATCCACCGAACACTTATGTTGCATGGGATCATTCTGCATACTTTCTGCAAAAGCCATTATATGGACAAGCACGCGCAGGACATTTGTTTTCATCTTATTTTGCGTCTGAAAAAGAAAGAAGGGCATATGGCATTAGAACAACACAAGGGTTAGTAAATGATGACTTAATTCTCATTTTTGTGTGAACTCTCTTTAACAGTCATTTGAGAGTTTCGTCATATCCCTTCTTTAAACATTTGTTCAGCTGAAGGGGATGAGCACAGTTACGAAATACACAGAGAAAGAGTTTAAATACTCCTCATTTTCCTCAGTTTAGATGGAAGAAGACGTATCTTCACTGGCCAAGTAGTGCTCAAGTGTTGCTGTATACAGTATATCCACCAAGCTGTGCTTCTGTTGGTCTGCCTTCCATTATCAACAATGGCCCAGACCGAAAGCTGAATCTTAATCATAAGATTGTTGTGCCAGCGGACCCTCTAAACCACCTCGTCATGCGGGTTTTGCCAGCACTCTCAGAAAAAAAAAGGTACAAAAGCTGTCACTGTATATATATATATATATATATAAAATATACATTTCAAATGTCTGTAAACCTTTATTTATTAAAGAAAACACATACAAATCAATACATATAAATACATTCAAATTAAATTTAAAATTATTCAAAAGAAAGTTTGCCTTATTTTCTCTTTCATTTACTGACAGCAGATGTTTAAGTTCAGTTGTGGTCCTCCAAAAAAGCTAATATCTTTACTCGTATGCATTCATGCATGTATTAATTACATTAATAGCTTGACTTAGCTCTTAATTTGATAAACAAATTTTAAGTATGGAATCATTTTCTTTCCAGGAGACTGCAGGCCGACAGTGGTTTGTTTATGTGGTTTACATTGTGCACTCCTAGATGGAAGTGATCTTCAACTTCACAGTATATCCTCGACTACCTCACACGCCGAATACAGAGCAGCGGATGTGTTTGTGGAAGAACACACTGGAAAAGACACTGGGACAAACCTCCAGAATTAATTCAATGAATTTTAATACTTATGAGCAGTGTTGGTGCTCACATGCTATTGAGCTTTAAAATATGACATATTTAGCGTTTGAGCCCATTCGGTACTGAAAAAAGAAGCATTTTTTGCATATGATATCATAGTTTATTTTAGTAAATATCAAAAATCTAAAAGGTGTGCATTATAGTTGACACCTACATGAACACTTTACAGTTGGTTTTATGACTGTGAGTCATTTTCCTCAAATGCTATTGAGCTTTAAATTATGGCATATTTTGTGCTTGAGCCCATATTCGTAAAGAAAAAAATAGCAATATTTATATATGATTTGACAGTTTATTTGAATAAATATCAAACATCTAAAAGGTATGCATTATAACTGAGACCTACATGAACATGTTACAGTGGGTTGTGGTTGTGAGTTTTAAATTATGATATATATTTTGTGTTTGAGCCCATTCGGTAGTGAAATAACATATTTATATATGATTTGACAGTTTATTTCAATAAATATCAAAAATCTAAAAGGTGTGCATTATAACTGAGACCTACATGAACACTTCACAGTTGGTTGTGTTACTGTAAGTAATTTCCCTCAAATGCTATTGAAGTTAGAAAAGTGTATACCAATGTCGTATGTAACTTTAGAGACGGTCCCTAGATTTGCGAATATC